CTAGTTTTATTATGTTTACAGGACAGAAGTCTAACCATATCGGCTGAATAATAATGGTCAAATGAATTTAGAGTGGATATATGGCTATCAAGAAGAAAGGGCAGAAAAAAAGTTGCAAAAAACTAATGGAAAGTGGAATTTGTGTATTAGCTTGAATCTTTAGCTATTAATAGTCTATAAACAAGTAAATAAGAGAGAAAGTCCATCTGTGAATTGAGTGAATACGTGAGTATCAACTCAGGGTTTTAGTGTATGTTTATCTGCGGGTGTGTGTGTGTGTGTGTGTGTGTGTGTGTGTGTGTGTGTTTTTGTGTGTGTCTCTGTGTGTGTCTCTGTGTGTGTCTGTGGTGTCTGGTAAATGTCTGTGTCTGTGTGTGCTTTGCGAATGTCAATTGAAAACTATTCATATTCGCTTTGCAACTTTTATGTTTTTGTAAACATTCACAATGAAGGTTAACTCTACCGGCTTAAAAATTTTCACAAAGATTTATTGCCCAAAAATCGTGTCTTCTAGTTTTTTTTTCTTAAAAAATTTTTTTTCCTGCATGATTTTTTTTCTAGTTTACTTTTCTCCGTACCTCTGATATTCTTTGTAGTAAAGCAGAAAAATTTTTGAAACTACTTTTATCGTCATCATCATCATCATCGGTTGCAGTTAACTGTTTTGACGGCACTGTTTCTGTATTCTTTGGTCTATTTTCCTGAACTGTAATAACCATCAGTGGATATATCCGCATTGACGTTAATGTACGTCATATTTTGTTCCATATTTAACTGTTTATGTTTATTCTAAAAGAAGAGCTAAAAGTAAGAAATGAAGGTGGACTAAAACCAAAATACAAAACTCGTTCAGTTATCTGCAACAGCTATTGTTGATACTGCTAACTAACATAAATGTCATAGGTTGCTGTTACTATTATTAGATTCTTACGGAAATTGCACGAGAATTAGTGAAAATATAAAATAAATGTTCTCAGCAAAATTCCACTACTGTTTTTTTGCATCGAAGAAAAAAAATTGACTAAATCGAATCAGTTGGGAACAATTTTGAGAACTATTCTTTTTTTGTGTGTGTTAAGGAGAACCCAATATTTTTGAGGTTTAAAATTTATATTAGTTTAGTATAAGTTTTCCAGTTTTTATTTTCACTCATTTTATCAAATCCACTGAGGATTTATTTTACTTGATTAATCTTCAGTTCTTTTTTTATTATCATTGTTTTTTTTTTGATTCTACTTTCGACGTTTTTTGTTGTATTAAATTTCTGATTCAATTAAAAATACCAGCAAGAAAAAGGGAAAAAGCAAAAAAAAGGCAATATTTTTTTGAAAGATTTGGAAAAAGGAAAGAAGAGAATTCCTGAGAAAATATATTTGCAGCAAAAAAAAAAATGGTAGGAAAAAAAACTAAAGGGAAAAATTCTTAAAACTTCAAAATTCGATCAAGAGGTGTTTTTCTGTAGTCTTTTTTCAAGTCATTTTTTTATACATTGTGTTTTCTTTTTTTTTTTTTTTTTTTTTTTTTTTTTT